TTTTTTTTTCTAAATTACTTAATTTTACACTGTTTCATTTTTCTTTTTATATGTTGTTCAAATGTAATACAAACAGTAATATGAAACTTTTTTGTTAAGAACTGCATGTACAAATTCAGTACTATATTTGTTATGAAAGCAATTCTATAATAGTTTCACTTTTACATTTAATAATAATGAAAATAAAGACACTGAGTTCAGTGTTACATGCATACGTTTTTTGTCACAAGCACTTTTGATGAACTTATAGTTGTCATCCTCAGGTGAATACGAATATTTTCGAGCAGTTAGCTTGCACTTCACAGAGCTAACTGCTTGTTCGGTTTTCGAATTATATTTGAATATTTGCTTCGTGTTCTAAACAACTTTGACAAAGTTTCAACTTATATTTTATGCGTTCTATTCTACAACAGATTATTTCTGTTTAAATTTTTTTCAGAAAATATTTGCCTGAGGAAGATGACTATAAGTTCGTTGAAAGTGCTTGTGACAAAAAATGTATGCATGTAACGCTGAACTCCGTGTTTTTATTTTTATTATTATTATACATTAATTTGGTGTCATAGTCATCCTATTGATTAATTTTACATTTTTCTCACTTATTTAATAGTTTTCTCAGTTCCCTTGATAAACATATAAATGAAGGTTTGACTTTTTTTTTCTTTCTTTCTTTGACAATGTCCTGTTTTATATTCAAATATTTCTGATCACCTTATACATAATATGCCTAATTATTACTAAATTACTATGTGGGTATGAAAAGAGAAAGAATAGCAGATAGATAGCTAACTTAAAATGTTTCACAAAAAATCAGGTCTTGTTTTCAATTCCAATCCTGATAGCATGTAATTCAATGACAACATATAACTAAGTGATATTGATGACAATATAATAAGAAAAAAGTCAACAACATTGCTACACACATTTGAAATGTCAGATCATCCATTAAATACTGCCTTTTTTTAAATAATTTTGAACAAAAAAAATACAGTGGAACCTCGGTATACGACCTTAATCTGTTCCTAATGTTTGGACTTATACCGAATAGGACATATACCAAACCAACCTTTCCCATAAGAAGTAATGTAATCCATTCTCATGAAAAAAAATGGCTGGCTTTAAACACCTCGCTTTCCTGGCTAGTTCCTGCTTGATTTTTCATGAGATCAGCATGTATCTTTTTAGCTTTCTCACAAATAATTGCTTCCGATACAATGTCACCAGCACACTGTTTTTCAGTTATCCAAAGCAAAAGCAATTTCTCAACATGATCTAATGTCTTCGATCTCTGTTTAGAAATTGATTTAACTCCTTTCCCAACGTTAGCAGGTTTAATAATGTCTTTATTTTTCGCGATTGTCAATATCGTCGTTCTCGGAATACGGCATGCAACAGTTAAATCTCAAACACGCGTACCACCTTCATATTCCTCAACAATCTCTTATCAGTTCCATTGTGATTCTAGTCATTTTTTTTAGTTTTCTGTTGCTTTTCATTTGCCTTTTTGCAATTCATGATTAATAAAAATAATAAAATTTTACTTACAAATTAAAATCAGAAGAAATTTAACAAAGTTATAAACTGTGACACCGCAAACGTCTAGTCTGGTCTAGTACACCGATAGTGCTACTTGTTCATAGATGGCGCGTATAATTGAATTAAGTTGTATACTGAACAGAAGTTGTATACCGAGCAAAATTTGTTTCGTCCAAACAGGACGTATTCCGAATTGGACGTATTCTAAAGCAGACATATACCGAGGTACCACTGTACTTTAAAAATGCATAAATTATACTTTAAATCAATTATTATATTCTTTACAACAATATGCCACATATCAATTTTTCAATTCTGTTTGAAAAATCCAGTTAGTTTTGATATGATAAATGCTTCAATTGCATTTCTGAGATCCTTTATGTTTGCAAACCTTTTAGAATCCATATATTGATAATTTTGCATTTTGGAAAAGGTGATAATATTATGGAATAGGAAATAGGAAAGTTGTAAAACCTCCTAGTTCAATATTTTAGTTTTGTCAGAAATTGCTTTTGCCATACTTAATCTAGAATGGTATTGTTACAAGATCAAACTTTTCTTGTCAACAAGAGACATTTTCTGATAAAGCAGCATGTAGATTGCCTAGTTGTTGATTATATGTCATATTGATATTTGCTTGATTCTGGATTAGCAGTTCAAAGTAAACAAGGCCTTTCATATCTTACAAATGCAGAGCATTATCTTTCTAGAATGTAAACTCTTCTTTGTTGAAAGGTTTTGAAGGAGTATTTTTGTCAACCCATTTTAACTTCTGCTTAATATTGTTATAAACAATCTATATTTTTGTCACTTATGAATCAATCAAAAATAAACTGGTTTTGTTGCCAACAAATCAAAAATTGAGTAAATGCTTACACAAGCCATGACAAATTCATTTGAGTTAATTAATGCAACACCTATTTCAACTTTAGCATTTAAAGGTTCTTGAAAAAAAATTTCTAACATACAGTAGAAGTGGTCAAATGAAACTTCACAGGAAACTCCTCAGTAGATAGATAAAATTCAGCTTCCACTAATGTTAACATATCATCTTCATTGAGCACAAACAGTCAGCCTCCAACTCAATTACACATTCTAAACTTTGCAAATTGTGCTTTGAGAGAAGTTGATACTTTACGGAAACATCTAGGATGTCAGAAACACTTATTTTTTTTTTTTTTATCATAACACATATTATTCCCTTGTTTAAAATTCATACAGCATATAGTATAGTGTCTTATATGTCAATCCTATTCGAGCTGTGGTCCGCAGCCCAATGCTGGTCCACAAAAAATTTTGACAAGCTTTCACTTACAATTTCATAGATCATATTAATAAACTATTTACAAGCAGGTTATTTTATTACTTTTGTTTTTCATTATTATTTAAGCACTTAGTGCCTGGGATGGACTGGTAATTGAAATCAGTTTGAAAAATTCCTTGAAATCAGCCCATTCTTTTCAAAATGATTAGAACCAAATTTTGTTAATGCCTTTTTCTTATTAATTCAGTCTAAAAATAAAAAAAAAATGCATTTGAACTCTGTAGTAATATAATTATGTTTTATTTAATTTCACAAAAATATTGGTCCAAGAGGGACTGGAATGAAGAAAAACTGGTCTATGAATACAGAAAGTTTGAGAAGTACCATTATGTTTCATTTGTTGTTTACAATTTTTTTTTTTTTTTATAAAAGAGTAAGTTTTAACACTAAGATATATCACGTTGTTGTCAGATTACAGTGAATATTTATCAATTAAAAACAAAGTACATGGGAATGAATACATTTATATTTAGATGTGATCTACATTACAATAAAAAATAAAAAAGCAACACTTATGAGATAACCAAATACAAGTGAAATTCTTTAAAAAGGGAAATACATAATCTAAAAAAATTGGCACAAATGTTTTATAAATCGAGTGAGTTTATAACCAAAATCTTCTGATGAATATAAATTGAAAGTTAACCCTCCTTTGAGATCTTGTATAGATTGTTACACGATCCAGGGGATTGCTTGGAAAAATTTTAAAAAGTTGCCATTTCATTCGTTTAAAATTTTTTTTTTCATTTCAAATCATTTATCACCACCAGTTTTGCATACTAATTAATGCAGGTGTGTAGCCTTATCAGTTTTGAGTTTGGAAAGCAAAAGTAACATGTTAAGCTGTCACTTAGAAATAGGAATAATTTTTGAATAATCTTGACCAACACATTTGATCACAATGCTTAAACAGTATTTCACAGGTTCTGTTGTGTCAAAATTTTTATGCTTTTGCATACTGAAAAAAAAATCAAAGTAAAAAGATTTTACTCCAAAAAATTCTCCAAATTTTCTGTCAGTTGATAAAAAATCCCCAATCTGGAAATGCTGGGCAGCATTGCAAGAAAACTGCCTTTGGTTCTCAACATCAGTTCCTTCTTTCCCATTCAAACTTGCCACTTGATATCATGACATCAATAGATGTGGTGCACAGGACTCCCATAGTACAGTAACTCAACATTCTGCTGTTTTTCCTGAAGCATGCTTTGTAATTCAATTTTACTCTGAATGTTGAAATAAGAGGACTAGTTTTTATTGCCAGTTTAATAAAAATATTGGCAAATGGCTATTTTGGCACTAAGCAGCACAACCTGTAATCCTGAATTTTAACTTGGTAAGTTTAGACAATCATTGCTTTCTGATACATTGAGATCCATACAATAGCATTTGGATCAATCTTTAGACTCATAATTACTACTTGATTAGTTATTACCTAATAAATTATACATCTACTAACATCACATACATATCCCTGTGGTCATCCTTCATTGATAGAAAACAATTACAAATTTCTCTAAACTTGGATTCCAAGGTTTCTATTCTTGTTTCACTGATCATGTCTTATCAATTCTATTATCCTATGATTCAATTTGTGTAAGTTGATATTCTTTAACTTATTTTTATGTACCACACTGCTTTCTATATTCTCTGAATTCTGCACTTTTCCATCCTTTCTGTACATATTCCATCCAATCATTCACATATTGAAGATTTAGATCAGTGGTTCCCAAAGGGGTCAGTACTGCCCACTGGTGGGCGTTGAAGAGATCTAAGGGGGTTTTTTGTCCAAGGCAAATTTAGAGGTGTTGAGGACTAACTGCTGCCCCCGGGCAATACTCATAAGAATGCACTGAAAAGTTTGATTAATACTAAAAATCATTGAATGCATGCTTTAACAAATAGTTCTAAATGTCTTTTAAGCAAGATCAGTCCATATTAAAAGTACATATTGGTACAGCTTTGTTCCTAATACCTTTTTGACTAGTACAGTATATGAACGAGTTGCAGTACATGCAGTGCACCACACAGAGCACAACAGTGTGCATATGTATGTTCTGGCTCAATCAACAAAGCTTATATTTACAAGTTTGCACAAGATTAAGATACATACAGAATATTGAATCTATGCATGTTTTGACAGGTTCATTAAACATTACTGTAAATATGTGAGGCTTTTTAACCACACAAGATTGTTTCGAAGTTCCTTCAGAGCAAGCATGAATCTAAAACTTCTGTGCAGTGTCTACAGATTACATTCGAAGGATAACTTATGTGGACCACTTATTAAAAATATTTTTTTTTTTGTTGTAATAACTATTTGCCACAAAGGTAAGTACGTACATATTTACTATTATTTGTTTATTATTCATTTTACCGACAGTTTAATATAATTTGAAACTATCTTTTAAAATTTAAATTTACATAAATTTAAATAATTTTTTACAAAAAATTTCTCTGTTATAAAATATTCATATAACAACTTACACAAATTTAAAATAATATATTTATAAAAATTATAATAATCATATAAAAGTTATTTTAAGTTGTTTATGAATTTATACAATATACAAATTAATGTTACAGACAGAGTATAGTTTCTCTGTTACGGGGCTATACAACTGGATAAGAATAATTGTAATTATATGATTTTAATATATGTAGATATGAACGTAAAACATAACTTCTATGGTTATCGAAAAAACATATATACACAAATAGTGTTACATCAGTTATAACAAGATCATCATATATAAAAGTAGCCGACACTGTCCAAATGAAGAGTTTATATATTTTGATTAATAGATTTTGTATAGGTTTTTCTTACTAAGATTATTTAAACTTCTTTTGAGATCAGTTGAAGAGTTGTAATAACATATTTGGAGTATTTTATAGTGGTCTTGTAGACTAGTAAGTTCTTGACAGTTATAAATTAAATGGTATGATGAGAAGTCTGTGGAATGGCAGAAATAGCAATGAGAACTTGTAAAATCGATGTAAATATTATTGATAAAAAGAGTATATTTATTTAATCATAGTTGCATTATTAGACATTTTACATTTAAACCTATTGGTTGCAATATATAGGACTGAATGGACAGAAATTGTAGCCGATCAGTATACCATGGATGATAAGTACTTTGTTTTAATAAATTTTGATCCTTATTTATTGCTTGAGAGATTGCAGAATTTATTAAAAGTGTATATCCAAATTTCCAGTCTTGAATATTGTCTTGAAATAAAAGCTCTGATACTCCAAATGTATTAAGAATTTTAATTTGTATTGCCATAATTAATTAAATTTATGATTTTTACTGTGATTAATATTTTCATGATGTAAATAAGTTATTATATTATCACTTTTAAATTTTAGTTTATAATAAAATTTAATTAGACATTTCAATAAGAAAGGGAATAGCCAAATATGATTCACTTCATGTTGTAGAGCATAGCCTGGAATAATTCTTTCTAATTGAAATAGTTTGCATATAAAGTAAATATGAAAGTACTCCAATTTATAAATGTAGTCTAGACTCCAAATCGGGCTGCATAACATATAATAGGCATAATAGTAGAGTTAAATAATTTGATATGGATATTCAGATTGGAAGTTTTCAGTTTAGAACATACAAGTAGTAAATTATCAATGGCCTGCTTTGCTTTGGCTTTCATTTGGTTAAAATGTGCTTTGAAAGTTAAATTCCAGTCAAACTTGATTCCCAAGTAATCTATTTCATTTACAGTTTGTAGTAACAAATTTTCATGGTATATTTTCGTATTTTTTCAGATAATTTGCAATTATTTTGGAATATCAAAACTTTTGTTTTTGTTTTGTTTTTGTCATGAATGAAAAAATTTATCAAGTTGATCAAGTTTTCGCTGTAATGAAATTTTTGTTGGGGCCAGGAGAACAAGATCATCAGCAAAAAGAATGTAATGATATACCCTATTACCAATTATTATTTTGTCAGTCGACTCGGAGAAAAAATGATCTATACCTATCAGCTAAAAATTGAATAAATACAGGGAAAGAGGATCTCCCTGAAGAATACCACGGGACAGAAAATAATAATTGAGAGATACTGTTGCCTTATTTTATCATGATATTATAATTTGAATATAGTTTTCAAATTGCAGAAGTAAAACAGTCACCTGCTATACAGGCTTTCAAGTTGTGTATCAATAATGGAACATATATTGAGTCGAATGCTTTCTGAATGTCACCAAAGGAGGCATAAATTTTTCTATGTTTTTTTAAAAGATGCAGTTGAACTATCATTAATAGAGTGAAGATAGCTGATTTGGTACCTTTATTTGTGATAAACGCATATTGAAATTCAGTTTCTAGTTCTAGTTTTCATCCATAATTGAAATTTGCTTGCAAGGATTGAAGTAAAACATTTCCTTATAGTGGATAACAATGGTATCGGTCTGTAGTTTTCAGGAGAGGATTGATCGCCTTTTTTATAAATCATCGTGAGAGTGGCTGAGTTCCAGGATTCAAGGTAGTTATTAGATTTGTACATACTGTTAAATAAGTTTAGTAATTTTAGTCTGGAATTGTGCGATAGCAATTTTAAAAAATCGGTTGGAATGTTATCGTTACCCAGTGTTGTTCTGCTTTTTGTTTTTTTAATAGCTTTGTTCAATTCTATAATATTAAATTCAGATTCTAATATGTTGTTGCAGACTTAAGTACTTATAATTAAAAGGTGACTATATGAATTTGTGGGAATCTCTGAAAAAAGTGCTTCCAAGTATCGTAGTCTATTTTGACAGAACTTCTGGTTGAGTTTAGTTTCAGACAAAATCTCCGCATAACATTCCAAAATAATTTACCATCATTATTATTTTTAATTAAGTGTAATTCAATTTTTCGAAAATAGTTTGACTTTTTAGTTTTCAATAAATTATTGTAAGATCGTTTAGCTTTTTTCTAGTTTTCAAAATTAAGATCATTAGGATTTTGCCTAAATTTGTTTAATTCCTCTTGTTTTTTCGTTTCCATTCTGTAACAATCAGAGTCAAACCATATTTCTTTAGCTTTATTTTGAAAATTTCTTTTATTTTTATTAAGGCACATGTAGTTGTTTAAAATCATCATCATTAGCTTGTATATTTTTACACTATTAGTATCCATTATTTCCAGGATGGTAAGCATACGATTATCAATCTCTGTTCAATATTTTGACATTTTATATTTTATTTTTGGGCTATTTTTAAATTGATTACTTTTCTTCTTTGAGGAGGTTAATAAAAATTTTGCTTTTGTAGGAAAATGGTCAGATATATCAAATGAAGTTATCATGAATTCCATACAATAGTCCAGCAGTAGATCAAAACATATTGTGTAGTCAATTGTGGATTTACCGGTATGGGTTAAGCAGGTATATTCTGCTGGAAAATCAGGTTTAATATGTCTGTTCAATATAAATAGTTTGTATTCAGTTATTAATTCTATTAATCTTTTTCCCATATTGTTAGTTTGTTTGTCCTTGGATTTTTGGTAATTATGAATTAAATGATTAGAACCCTTATATTTAGTGTATCATCATTTCACCAATTCTAGAGTTGAAATCTCCTAATACAATAATGTACGGGGTTATATGGTACCATGTATCAATCTTTTTGAAGATTTCATTAATTGTAGTTAGATCACCAGGTGGCACATAAGTTATCACTATTAGCAATAAATTATTATTCTTATTTAATAATTTAGTTTTATTTATAGAAATAAGAAGTAGAATATAATTAGTAGATTTTTTTACTTGGATTATTTTACAGTAGTCTTTTTCTATCAACATGCAAAGACCTCCTCTTGGGCAACCTGGACCTGCTGATTTACTTGCTAAAGTGGTTTCTATCATAAATTTATTGGAGACGTTAGATATATAAGATTTGTCAGTTGTAATCCAAATTTCTGTCATGGCAAAAATGACCGGTTTATATTTGGCCAGCATAAAATTAACAAATGAAGTTTTATGTTTGAGTCCCTGATAGTTCCAATTTATGACAGATTGAATAGTTATTTTCAAGAATAGAGTGACTTCGCATTTGACTTTGTTTTATAATATATCAGCTATCAGAACTTGAGTTAGAAAATGGTAAAAGTGAATCTACATAAACCAGACTTTTCTCATTGATATTATATGTAATTTTTTCTTTTCCTGTTATTATAATATTGTTATGTAGTTTAGCTTGTGGATTCATTTTTCAAATTTCATAAAGCGTTGAAAGTAAGTTTTTATGTCTGATTCTTGAATTTTTTGTAAGATCTGGTGATATCTGGATATCTCCCCAATCTTCAAGTTGGTTTTGTTGTTTTTTTCGAATGTAAGTAAAGAAGACAGAATTTCAAAGTTGATTATTACTAAAAATTATTTTTAAAGTCAATTTAGGTAATTTCGTTAACTGAATTATCTCTAAAATATCTTCTTGAACCATATTATGAATATTTAATAATGAAACAATAAATTTATAAATTTCTTCCTTAGTAATAGCTCTCAAAATGGGATAATTGTATAATATATTATTATTACGGGTAAGATCATTAGTTATATTGTCCATTTTAAATTGTGTGAAGTCTTTTTCAATCTGCAAGGTGTCAAAATGTTGATATAATTTAGTAGTCTGTTCTTCCATCTTTGTTTGTCTTTCTTTGGTTTCGTGTAGGTTTTCGTGGATTAAATTCAATTCCTCCTTAATATAAGTAATTTGGTTAAATAGTTTATCATTAGATACTTTTATAAGATTGGAAATTTTGTTCCATACAACTATCGAAGAAGTGTCTAACAGATTATCCGGGTCTTGTACTGAGGTAGATGATAAGAATGGCTCACCTGAATGATCTTGAGTATGTTGTTGAAGTAAATCTTCACTAATACTCTCATTCTCTTCAGAAGTAGCATGTAGATTTTTATCCATTTGTAAATTATAATTCATAATTAGCTTGGAACTTGTTGCTGTGAAGTCGTTGCGCTTACTCACTGATTTGGTTCTGTTGAGTGGTGGTCTTCCCCGCTTAATTGGAGAACGTTGCATTTCCGTTAATATTGAAGTTTTCTTGTTAACGTTAATTATCCAGCTGTTAGTCTTCTTTAACGAACAAAAAAAAACGTGTTAATCAAATTGATAATTTTAGAATTATAGTCGCAAGTGAAGTGCTTGACAAAAGTCCCCAGCAGCACCAGTGATTGAGATATGCCCCCAAAATTCAAAAATTATAATAATAAATTTATTTAATATGGTGACAGTTGGTCCTGTGGTGGCCACAGCAGATTTTTATTGTTTTTATTTTTACAGATAAACCCATGTCAGATTCTAAGAAAAACTGAAGACAATATAATGTCGAATATTTGAAATCTGGTTTTATTCTGTCACCCTTAAACAAGACATTACCAATGTGCCTGATTTGCCAGAGTTTTTTTGCAAATGAAGCCATGAAACCTTCACAATAAGAACATTTGACCAAAATATATCCTTACAGAAAAGAAAAATTTATCTTACTTTCAAATGCTCAAAGAACAACATTTGAAACATCCAACTTTAGCAGGTATGTTTTAAGCAGCATTGAAACAAGACGATGATGGGTTACAAGCCTCTTACATTTCCTTGCTTATTGCTAAATCGGGAAAACCGCACACTATTGGAGAAGAATTGATACTACCAGCTGTGAGTGAGGTTCTGCATACTGTACTGCACATGCCATCATCTGATATTAAGAACATCCCATTAAGCAATAATACATTACAGAGATGAATTGACAAAATGTCCGAGGATGTGGAGAGTTCTATAACTGTATTTTTGAAGACCACAGAGTTTTCTTTACAGCTTGATGATCTATTTTATCAAACAATGAGTCTTTACTTCTTGCATAAGTTCATTTCATAAAATATGAAAAAAAATCTGTCAAGAACTATTATTTGCAAAAAAATTAGAAACAGATACTAAAGGAAATCTATTTGATGTATTGGAACACTATTTTAAAGAAAAAGGTATTACACTGGATAATATCATGTCCGTTGCTACTGATGGTGCTCTGGCAATGGTTGAACAATACCACGGGTTGATTTCATATTTGAAAAAGGCAGTACAAAATGTAGTCACTATGCATTGTGTAATTCACAGACAACATTTGGTTACAAAAAATCTTAATGCTTGCATTCATTACGAACTACCGTATGTAATTACAGCAGTTAACAAGATCAGAAGCAATGCTCTCAGTAGACTGTTTCAAAAACTTTGTGATGAAAACGACGAAGATTTCGATCGTTTACTATTGCACACAGAAGTTTGAAGGCTATAGAAGGGTACTTGTTGAAAAAGATTTTATGACCTCTTTGACTCAGTTCTAATGTTTTTTGAAAAAAAAGATAATTTGTTAAGAGAGAATTTATTAAAACTTAAGAATGATATAGTTTATTTAACTGACTTATATAATAAATTTAATGAAACAAATCTACAGCTGCAAGGAGATGATTTGAATCTGATCAAAGCAAAAGCAACTACAGTAGAGCATCAATTATCCAAATATCAATCAACTGAAACATCAATTAACCAAAAGCTTTCCAGTTGGCAAATTTAAATTTTTGCTAGTGCTATGGCACTGCAATCTTTGGCTATGCTTTGGGCTACTCCAATATTATTTTTGTTGGTGTGCATATTTTAGCTGGCAGCACTGGCGTGACTATGAGAGGGTACTTAAGGACGTGCCAAGATTTGAATGAATTTCAACATGGGATAGATTAATATATTTTTTCATACATAATCAGTTATCCGAAAATCGATTTTCCGAACAACCCCAGTTCCCAATTGATTTGGATAGTCAATGCTCTACTGTATTTCTGCATTCATGTCAAAACTTGCCTTGTACAAACAAAATTTGAGTCGAAGACAATTCTATCAGTTTCCAAATCTTTCCTCTGTGGAAACAAATGATGATGACATTCTGGTATTTTGCCAGAATTTGGAAGCACTTAAAGATTTTACAAATAGATTTAAGGATGTCCTTAACATGATCATTCCAGATTTGGTACTAGAACCTTTCTCAAAACTACAAACAGCAGAATTATCACTGCAAGAGGAGTTAATAGAATTGTCAACAAATGAAGAGTTAAAATTAAAATATAGATATCAAGAATTTTGGCTTCAAAGGAAAATTACAGTATTATATCAGATTTTATCAGCTGCATCAAAGAAGTTTTTCATTGCATTCCCATTATATTTATCTGAAAGAGGATTTAGCATAGTCATCAATTTACTAACAAAGAAAAGAAAAACTGTCAATAGTGGAATACAGCAATTTAAAATTGCTGATGACATATATGGCACCAAATATTAAAAAATTAATGCCATTACACCAAGCTCAGCTCTCTATTAGTATTATATTAATTTTTTTAATAATATATACTTGTTAATCAAACTTTGAGCAATAAACCAATATTATTAATATCTTTTAATAAAGTAATTTTAAAAATTGGTCCTCATTTTTCAATATACAGGGAGGGTACAAAAATAGGTATACAGTTGTTATTATGGAAAAAAACATACAGGTAGAAAATAGGAAGAAAAAACATTTCTTTTTATGTACACACAAATCACAAATAAGGAATACGAACTAATAAAAGATAATAATGAACGCTAAATATTTGTATTTCTCAGATTCTCAACTGTATATCTACTTTTGCACTCCCCTGTATAATATAGTAAGTATACTTCACCTAAGAGGGGGCCATCAAATCACTGTTTGAAAAAGTGGGCTAGGACCCAAAAAAGTTGGAAAACTATGGGTTACATTATTGATTTCAAGAACGGAAGTCAGTGTGTTTTTTTTTTTTCCGAAAAGGGGCAGTGAGTAATTTTTTTTTTTTTTTTTGAAAAGGAGGGCAGTACGCCAAAAATAGTTGGGAACCTATGATTTAGGTAATCTAGATTAATTCTAGCTCAAACACATTTTACATCAGTTCAAATTCTAAATCTCTGCAAATAAGAATTAATGAACTGGAAATAACACATAATAAGATATTGTAAGTAATATTTCTACAGAGCTGTCAAATGCTTAGACTTCACAATTTACATCACATGATATTAACCTTTCAACAGTGGGATAGTCAGGTATGATGCTATCCCAAAGTAGAGGAGAATAAACATGGAAAATTTTTAAAGAATTTTTCCACATGTTTTTTTCTCATTACCATTTCAGAAAAAGATTTCATAAACAGTTATGTCTAGTAAAGAAAAGTCTTTTTTTATTGTTACATAATTCATTTTTTATGTGAATTTTTTTCTGCGATAGTTTTGGCTAGTTTATGGCAATACCCCCAAAAGAATTTAACAGATATATCTGTCCCTCACCATTGCCACATGATTGCCCTGGATAGATATATCCATCCCTCAGTCCCTTACTGTTGAGTGGTTACGCTTATGGCTTGCATTAATAACCAAAGAACTAAAACCTAAAACCAAAGAATTATTTTTATCAGTGTAAAAAATAGGTTTTATATAAATTTTGCTTTTTTGTTTGAATATGAGATAAGAAAAGTCTGAATTATTTTGATTTCAGTTTATATTAATAATACTCCATTTATAAAGCAAAAAGTAATAAGATTGTTAAAATTGAAGAACAAAAAAATTTCAATCAAGGGTTATGAAATTATTTCTATTCGATGTTGTTTCTTTCATATATTGTATTGTAATAAATTTCAAAATAAATTTGAAGCCTTTTTTAAATTATTATTATTATTCAAGGAATTTCTGGCATTGATAATTAATTTGTCTGGGAATTAATTGTTTTTTGTAATTACTTTTTACAGACATATTAATTTTATCCAAAAATATTTAAAATACTTTTTACTTATGAATGGTTTACTAAGAAATTTAATTATTAAATCACAATATTATTTTTGTTTTTAGGTATATTCTGTAGTGCAAAATGTTGTGAGACTGGAATTAATTAGAAGAGAAGAAACTGGAACTGAAATAAACATCAATGAAGAATTTAATCAAATGCAAATTTGGTGAAAAAGCAGAAGAGAGTTATAGTTCTGAAGTGAGATTCCAGAGTAAACTAGAAATTTTTTCTCAAAAAGTTCTATATTATTGAAAAATTAGCTTTAAAAGTTACAAATAATAGTTTTAAATAAGTTAAGGAAAATGACAAATCTTAACACACAAGCTTTGTCCTACTAACAAAACTGGCAGCTAACATTAACTAATCAATAAATGTTATTTCACTTTTGTAAATACATTTTGTTTCTCTTCTAATTAATGTATTTATAAATATTTGTTTGTTTATATATTTTGATAACATTATTTTATTTTATTATATAATAGAATCAGCTTATTGTAATCACTTTTGGAACCTGCATCAGCCTACCACTTTGGAGAGAGAGAAATGAATCTAAGTGAACAAAAAACCTCAAGACTTTCGTAGATAGTATCTGTCCATATACATCAGGTCCTCACCATCCAGTTATCATTGTGAACCTAGCTAAACCCACAATGGATATGGGAAAAAAAGGCCCTCTTAGTGCCTACAGGACAAAGCCAAAAATGCATTTGCTTCAATAACCAAATTTTATTTTATTTCAAAGTGTCATCTGAAGATAATTTGCATTAATATTATGTTAAAACAATTTGTTATACTGTTCAACTAATTAATTTTAATTTGAAACTAATGTTCTAGTCCATTTCACAAATGATTGTGAATATTCCAGGTAATTCTTTCAAATCACATATATATTTCTCTCTCTAAGTAAAAGCCTTTGGAAGAATTGAGAGGAACCTATTGATGATAGATAATTAACTGGTGAAACAGACCATATGCTACTTGACTTTGAATAGTTGTTTTTGCAAATTGAAAAGGCAAGAATAAGCTATAAAAGCATAAAAGATGGATGAAAATCAAATGATTAGCATTCATCATTTAAAATGTGTTTTGAAATGTGAAAATGAATAAAGAATGATTTTATACAGACTTAATTTTTACATTTTTTTTCTAAAAATGGTAACTTCATTATTTTCTAGAAATTATTTTGAGAAACATTTTCATAGATAGAACTAGATGGGACAGTGAATAATAATTGTACAAGGTAACTTCAAATAGTTCCTGGAATTGGTTTATTACTCAAAAGTATGTGTACAATTGATGAATCAAACTGTCCTTTGAAGTATTTCCTTCAGCAACCACACACTTTTGCCAACACTGGTATAGCTGCTGAAAACATTCTTGGAAGTTGTCTTGCAACAGTGCCTGCAACATAGATGTCTCACACCTCATTTGCATTCTTGAAGTGGCATCTTTTAACTGAGGGAAGAGGTAGAAATCACATGGAGTGAGATTCAGAGAGTATGGAGGATGCTTCAATGTGATTACTCCATATTTGGTCAGGTGCTGCTTCACCAGCAGTGACTGATGTCCAGAGCATTGTTGTGGAGAAGCACCTATGTGTTGTTTTTCCAATAGCGTAGACATTTTCAGTGGATGGCAAAGAATGTCAACTTACATGTTGTTGAAAGTGCAACTCTCAGGTATATTCATAGTGAACAATCCCCTGGGAGTCAAAGAAGACCTCCAACATGACTTTCCCCTTATTCCTGTCCTGCTTGAATTTCATGGACCACAATGAGGTGAGCAACTTCCATTCCATGGACTGTTGTTTTGGTTGAGGATCACACAAGAAACATCAGGTTTCGTCACCTGTGATAACGTCAAAAAATTCCAGATTCTTATTAGCCAGTTTGATGTGATATCTACATAATGTCTTGCGAGTCTGTTGCTGGTCTGCCATGAGCATTCATGGCACTATGTGTTGGTAAACATGGTGCATGTTCAATTGATCATGCAGGACGGAATGACAACTTTCAACTGAAATTTCTGCTGTCTTGCCAATCTCTCAATTGACTGCAGTCTGTTTGACCTCACAAACTTGCATACAACCAACATTTTCTCTTCAGACATTGATGTCGACAGACGACCACTTGGTAAATCATAAGTAATATTTTGTTGTCCCTCATAAAGGAATTATGCCAGTCATAAACTTGAGAATGCTTCATGGCAGATTCACCAAAGGTGTCCTGAAGCATCTTCAAGGTCTCAGTGGATTTTTTCCCCAATAACAGACAAAATTTGATATTTGCACATTGTTCTTCCATGGACATTTTTGCCAGACTCCATTTCACAATACCTCACTAATACAGCCTTCAGTGAATGGTAACACTAGTCATCTTCACAGAAAATACAAACAGGTTTGAATATGTCTCTCTAACATGTTCCCTTTTTCATTGCCTGTAATTGACTACCCCAGCATAATTCCAGGAACTTTTTGAAGCTACCTCATATTACAACTAATAAGATTAACATTACTAAACTCAAAAGACATGAAAATCTAACATGGATTTATCAGGTACATTTGGAACTTTGTTATATATCTAAAAAGTGAATGCTTAAAAATATAAAACAATACGAACAAGATACATCTTGCAATTTTACAAATTCAAAAATTATTTAATTTTGGGATTATACTTCCTTAACCAGGTAATTCATCAAATCTAAAGGCTCATTCAGACATATCCAGTAATTTAGTCAAATGGTTAGTAGTCATTTACTAGGTAAATGGTTTAGTACATAAAAAGTTTCCAGACTAGTACAGCTGAGCATCCCCATGAGCTTTAGGATGGACAAATGTAAACATATTTGTGCAATACCCAATGTTATAATATTGACCTAATGAAATTGACTATAAATAATTCTGTCTAAACATGTTTAGTTGTTAAACATCCATCCAATTAGAAATTACATGTAATTTCTAATTAATATTTGTAGCACAATTTCTGTCAGATTAATTTGGCTATTGGTTAGATGTTTAATAATACATCAAGTTCTTCTGGATGTTTATATTTATATGTTTAGTTTGTAAGTGATAGTGGTGGGGCTGCTACTTGAGCAGAAAAATGAAATTAAATGGATTTACTAAACAATCATTTTATTAAACCAATCAATTAAATTAAATTTCACTGTCCACACACTGTAAGTTACTACATTACTAGATGTGTCTGAATAAGCCTTAAGTAAAAATGACTATGTCTGAAAAGATTAATAAAATTTATTCTTGCAACAAAATTGTTTGATTCCACACCAAAGTAGATTACAGAGATTATCAAAGAAGAAAAATTATTAAATATTAATAGTAATAAAAAGCAAACATTATTATAGTATTTTTTTACATTTTATCATCAATTTAGAAAATACAGTATTTATAATAAGAGGAATTTTTTTTCATGAAACTATGATTATGTTAAAAAGATACAACATATTGCAAGAAATAAATTTATACTTAATATAAAATTCATCTATTGAACAATAAGAAACTTGGATAAAGAGAGTTCCAATAATTTCAAAAATCTGTGACTTATTTAAAATATTTTTCTAAAATTAATCTCAAAGATTTTTTTGGCTTTTTTAAATAAAATGTGATTTATATAATTTTTATAACATGGTTCCATTTAAAACTTCAATATAACCCAACTACTTGTCTTGGGCAAGGTGGGTTAATTTTACCATGATTCAAGAGACCTGCCTCTTCAGAATAATATAGAAAGAAATATTTAATTCTATTATATAGTTTTGGACATATTAGTAACACTGTGGCCCATGCAGTATATATATTTATATTCTCTTTCTGTTATAAAAGTTCTCACAATGATTGATAAAATACAAGGTCTGTCCAGAAAGTTTGTGAACTTTGCAAATAGAAATTGTTTGCATTTACCTAAAAGCTAGTTGGTTTTGTTGCCTTCAAAGTGGTCTCCTTTGAATCCAGTGTTTCTGCCATAAAAAGAACTTTTCCTGAAATGTTTCTTTTAAGATGATGAGCAGCTCACTGGCAAATTTACCTTAATGGATTCAAAATGGTACCTTTTGAAAGCAGATTTTATTTTGGGAAACAAAAATAAGCATGCTAGGGCTTAGTCCAGTGAATATGGAAGTTGAGGAACAAATGGTATTGAGTTCTTGGCCAAAAATTCTATTATCAACAGTGATGTGTGGGCAGGTGCATTATCTTGATACTGTTCTCTCCAAGTAGTTCATTTTTTCTTCCTCACTGCTTCAAGAAGACATTTTATCACTTTCAAACAGTAAATGACTGTTTCAGAATAAAAAAAAAAGCAGTGAGCAAGACTGAACTTGTTATGCATTTTTGGGATGCAGTGAAGATATTCCCACCCACTCTGATGACCGAATCTTTTTTCCCACGTCATACCCATCGACCCTTGTCTCATCCCCAGTGATGATGTTTTTCATGAAATTTTCATCAGACCTAGACCATTATAAAGCTCTTCAATCACTGAGAAAAAAAAAATCACAAAATGCAATCAACACATGTTTACAGAAATGAATGTAACACAACAACAAATGAAGATAGTATACAAAACTTGCCATTAGATAGTAGTGCAAGCTGCATTAAGATTCAATTATTGGTTGATGCATAATTTAAAAAGTTCATGAACTTTCCAGACACACTTCATATACTTACATCTATGGAGATATTTTCTTTAATACTCCATCATTATTTATTTGTTTTTGAATATAGTAAAATTTTATAATCCTACAAATATATTTGCAATTTTTGATGCTAATGATATTTTTAATATATATTTTAACATAACTATCTGATAGCAATGAATTTTAATGCAATCTGCTGTTTCATGAAATTTATATTACTTTGCAGTCTTCAGTCTATTGCAAAATTCACAATTCTGTCCTAGACTGTAATCTATATATATATAAAAATGAATGTATGTCTGTCCGCCTGTCCTTCATGCATTACTACACCATTTATCCGATTGCCATGAAACTTTGGGAAGTTGTTTAATACACTCCTGCGAAGATTTCTGGCATAGTACATTTATGTTACGATAGGTGGCACACGTGTATACGAGCATTTCATATATAAAGTTAACATGAAGAGCACATGCGCATAAGTTTGCTCTATTCAAACTCTTCATCTTAATGTTCAATTTTATGTTTGAATTTATATTTATGAATGATTCTGGAAGATCCAGCTTATTTTTTGAATTTAGCCTGAAGAACAACCCAGAAAGAGTTACAAAAATGTTTATTCATCACTTAGTGGTACTATGCACTGGTTAGTGGTTGGAGCGAGTCTTAATTATCATTATCCCGGTGTGGTAAGCAGATATCTAAAAATTTTCTAATTAGTCTCAGAAGAGGGGGACATTCTTGCACTTGATAAAACAGGTAAGATCGGCTATAATCTAATAATCTTAATCTTCGCTATCAATACTTTTTTCCCGAGCAATGCCGGGCTCATCTGCTAGTATAATATAAATTTAAACACTCAATATTAACTAAAGTGAAAACTAATATTACAATTAAAATTTTGATATTTGAACAATTAATTCAAAATTATCTATGTATTTATAATAAAGAAATTTTAATTAATATGATATAAAAATAAAAGCAGAAAATATTAAATTTAAAAGAATTATTTATTATTTTTTTGCATTCGATTATTAATTATTATAACNTAAATGTTTAAAAATTAAACATTTTAAATTAATTAAACCTTTTAAATTATATTATTAAAAATCTTAAATTTAAAATAAATAATCCTCTAAAATAAAAACAGAATAATAAAAATAAAAAAATAACTTTTTCTAACAATTCTAAATTACCATAATAAAAAAAAACAAAATAAAGAATTCCATAATTAAAATTATTTTATGCTTATGCAGAAAAAAAAAGTCAAAAGCATTTAAAACTATTCATTTTTCTTAAATTGATCATACTAATGAGAAAAGATTCAAATTTCAGTGTGTCCTTGTCAGACAAAAGATAGTGTATTCAGCAAAACCCATTACAAAAATCAATAATCAAAGACTATTTATAATAGAAACCAGTTCTAAGGAAAGTGCTATTTATTGAAATTTTTAAAATTATCTCCAATTTACTGTGATATCAAAACCATAACCAATTTTTTGTAAAAACAATTATTATAATATGTAGTATTTTATATTCACTTTTTAGATTTATCTATAATTATAACAACATCACTTTAATCTTTACGCTTCGTTTTTAGAAAGTTCTAAAGCCAAAATAACAGGAATTCAAACATAATC